ATGCTTTTACAAAGCCTCCTAAACCAAGACTAAACTTAGAGATATCACTGATTTTTTCCTTTTGGTGTCAGTTCTGGGACTTGCATTCATGGCATGGGATCTGTCCTTAAGCTTCTCTTTGCTTCAGGCTAGCACTCTACCACTGAGTTACAGCTCTACTTCCAGCTTTTTTGATGATTAACTGGAGAAAAGAATCTATGTACTTGCCTGCCATGGTGAGCTTTGAATTTCTATTCTTTGATCTTTGCCTCCTGAGTAGCTAGGATTACATGTATGAACCACCAGTGCCTAGCCATACTGGTTTATGAGCAACATTAGTGCAAAACTTGTCCTTGTGAGGAAGTAACTATTCTGTGCTGATCTAAATTTAGACTGAAAAATGTCACCAGTGGGTCAGATGTTGGTGGCTTATACCTTTAATCCTATCTATTCAGAAGTTAGCTAAGATCTGAAGATTGCCATTTGAAATCAGTCCAGGCAAGAAAGTAGGTAAGACTCTTATCTCTAATTTTCCACCAAAAGCAGGAGGTGGAGCTCTGGCTCAAGTGGTAGAGTGCTGGCCTTGAGCAAAAATACTCAGGCACTGTGCTCAGACCTGGAGTTCAAGTCCAAGTACTAGAACAAAGAATGTCAGCAATTATGTTTGAGAGAAACTCAGGATCACTTTTTGCATAGTTTACTCTAAATAAGAAGTTTGATTTTTGCTAACTATGAAAGTAATTTTTAAGCTACTCTCAAATCTGGGCTTCGTTATTCTTTTAACATGAACAGTGTGAACACTGAGAATCATGGCATCAAGGTCCCTACCAACTAGTGGGGGCTAAAACTAGAGGAACCTTGATTTTTGATCAATTCAATGGATCAAGTTGTCCTGCAGCCATTTCTTGATGGCTCTGGGCCTGAGGCTGCTGGATGACACTTCTGTGTCACAGGACAAATACTAACCTTGCATATGCTGTCTACTTTGGTGCAAAATCATTTGTCCTGTGTGGATTAACCTCATCCCAATGTGTATATATGTTTATTTTAATTTCAGGAAACTTTAGAGTGTGATGAAACATGGCCAGACCAGGATGGATCTTCATAAAAGGGAACAACTGTGTATCATAACTGGTGTGTGTGTGTGTGTGTGTATGTGTGTGTGTGTGTGTGTGTGTGTGTGTGTGTGTTGGTCTTGGAGCTTGAACGTGGGGCCTGGGTGCTGTCCCTCAGGTTTTTGCTCAAGGCTAGTGTGTTACCCCTTTAGCCACAGCTCTACTTCCTGCCCCAGACTTTCCTGCCCCAACTGGCTTCTAAATGCAATCTTCTGATCTTCACCTGATGAGTAGCTAGGCTTACAAGCATGAGCCACTGGGGCCAGTAGCAGCTTAAAATAGTTTCTATGTTGAATAGTTTTAGTTTTTTTTTTTTTTTTGGGTCTGGTCGTGGGGCCTGAACTCTGGGCCTGGGCACTGTCCCTCAGCTCTTCAGCTCAAGGCTAGCGCTCTACCACTTGAGCCACAGCGCCACTTCCGGCTTTTTTCTTTTTGCTTATGTGGTGCTGAGGAATCGAACCCAGGGCCTCGAGCATGCAAGGCAAGCGCTCTACCACTGAGCCACCTTCCCAGCCCTAGTTTTAGTTTTTATCATAGATATTTCTAGTTGCTTTCCAAGGAAAGATTGGGCGTGTGGAAGTAGACCATGTTTAGAGCAATAATAAACACCAAGAACTATACACCAAGGCTCAATAATATTGAGTCAAAATGTCTGGGTTCCATTCCAGAGTTTGATCTCCAGCTGGCTATGGAACTTAAGGTAAGCCTAACTTCTCTGGGCTATCCTTATCTATAGGTATGAATGATGACATCTACCACGCAGAATTGTCTAAGAAAGTACATTGGTCACCAAACCTTGGAAAGGAGGATCTTAATAATTATTTCCTTCACCTTGACAATAAAAAGAAAAATAATTATTTCCCTTCACAATAACATTTCTTTTTAATAGTTTTATTAGCATATATTAGTTGTTGGAGAGCAGTTTTTCTTTTTTTTTTTTT